GAGAGCCAATGTTTTCCAGTTGCACATTGACAAGTCTGAGGCCCTCCTGTTTGGCTCTCATCAGTGCCTTCTCACTTCAGGTACTGATTGCATCAGCATCCACATCTGCAATCCCCACCATACATAGTTAGTACAGAACTGTGGTTCCTGTTTGATGCTTAATTCTCCTTTGAAGCACACATCCGGGCAACGATCCATTTAGCCTTCCACCACCTCTGTAACATCGCCTCCTCCGCCACTGCCTTTCCCCTCAGGCCACCGAGATCCTCATTCATGCATTCATCATGTCCAGGTTCAACTACGATAACTCCTTGTTCGCAAAACTCTTTCCTCCACAAGCTGCAAAATAATCAGAACTCTGCAGCTTGTGTTCTGTCCGTTACCAAACTCCGTCACCCAGTTCCGGCTCTACCGGCTCCGCATTCCCCAGAGATTTGATTTTAAAATCCTGGTCCGCACTTCTAAAGCCCTCCATGGACCAGCTCCTCCACATCTCTGCGACCTATCAACACCACACCAACCTGTCCATTTCCTCTGCTTGGCCAGCACAAACCTGCTCCATATCCCATTGGTGGTTGGACCTTCATGTCTTCTGTCCACTCCCTCTGGAACTCCATCCAGAATCCCTCTGCCTCACCCTCTCCGTTGCCTCTTTCAAGCCTCGTCTCAACACTTTCCTCTTTGATCGTGCTTTCGGCCACCATCCCACCCCCTCCCCTCACCACTCTTGATTCGAACTCCCATCTCAAGTGCCTTGCCTTGAGATCTCCTTCCGACGTGAAAGGTGCTTGATAAGTGTAATTTTGTTGTTGTTATTGTTAACTAATTCCAGCTGTTAGTTATTCTCTGTCAAAGAAAGCTTCCTGTTCTGTTTCCCTTCACAATGATGATACTAATGCCCTCTTGTCTTGCTTCTTTTTATGTTAAACATTCATTCACAATTGCAGTACATTTGAATTATATTGGTGTTGAACTCTATTTTGTCCACATGATGACGCTGTTCATTGAATCCCATAGAATACAAAGAAACATTGCTGTAACACGGTCGACTAGGTCCAATGTCTCACTGACTGGGTTATAATTAGGTGTGATAAAATGGCCTTCTTTAGGTCAATCGTCTTAATAACAGTGGGCTCAACCCATCAAAAGTTTGTTTTACAATTTCTGTCTTTTAGACTGTATGTGGACGATGGCTAATTTATGGTCGATTCACCATAGGGTAGACAAGCTATATTCTACTATGGGATTAACCAACACCACGTATTAGACAGCAGGTTGTTTGGAGCACATAATAAGAACATAAGAACATAAGAATTTGCACGACGAAAGAAGAACAAGGTCTATCTACTTTGCCTTCCACCATCCTGACAGCCACTTGACATGTCATGTCCCAAACTATACACTGTATCCCAAGATATTATTTTCTAGCAGAAATCTATCTCATTTGTTCTTGAAACAAATGACATTTTCTGCTTCCACTGTCTCCCTAAGGAGCCTGTTCCATAAGTTTTCTACTCTCTCCCCCAAGTAGTGTTTCCACAGATTGGTTCAGTCGCAGGCCATGCCCTCTGGTTCTGCTGTTCAGCACAGGATAAAACAGCTTATCGTGGTCTACATTATCTATTTCCTTCAGAATCTTAAAGACCTTAATCATATTCGCTCTTCAACATTCTCTTTTCCAGTGTGAACATGTCCAGTTATTTAATTGCTCCTCATCGTCCAGTCCCTCCATCCCCTCAATCATTTTGGTTGCCCTCCTCTGTACCTCTCAATCGCTGCAATATCCTTCCTATATTGCCGTGACCAGAACTGCACGCAGTATTCCAAGTGCTTTCGCACCAGTGATTGATAAAATGGCTGAATTGCCCCAGTATTTTGGCTCATATTGCCCTTTTAATACAGCCGAGCATCTGGTTTGCCTTCTTCACTGCTACCGAGCACTGTTGGGATAGCTTGATTTTATTAACACTCAGGATCCCTGGATCCTTTTTTATTTTCCGTACAGAAGATTTTCTTACCATTTAAATAATAGTCACTTCCTGGATTTTTTTGTCCCCATGTGAAAAGCACTTTCATTTCTCTACATTTTAAATTTTAATAATAATCCTTGCATTTGATATGGTGCCTTATCACAATGTGGAGATGTTTCAAATAACTTCAAAGAACATGTGTAAAGTGGATTGACTGTACATTTTGTGGATATAAACATGCTACCAGTTGCGTTTCCTGGGGGTGTGTATGTACATTTGTGGGGGGAAATCCTAGGCTTTAGATTGTGATTCTATGAGAATGGGATCATTTTTCTATTTTTATACTACTTCCAATTATCAAAAGAAGCAATTTTAAACAAGTGCTGTATTATTGATAACATTGGGAGGATATTCCAAAGTGTTTTACAGGATATACTGTATGAGAAAACAACAGCTCCTCTGCTTTGAGAGAAGACCAGCAGCAGAGCAGATATTTAGTTTCAACACAAAGGCTGTAATGTTGGCATAAAGCCTGACAAATCATATTCTCGGTGGTCTTGTGAGAAACACTGTTTGATTCTTATCCCCAAAAATCTTCAAGATGCGTGGAGTTGTTTGGCTACTGAAGGGCACGTAGTTTATATCAGTTGATACACCTACCTTGCCACTCTGCTGGACTCGTGAACCCATAATGAATGTACCCTAGTACCTGATGGCAGAAACCCTCAGGGACGCTACCCCAGGTGAAGGGCGCTATATAAATGCAAGTTGTTGTTGGTGGTGGACAAAGAACATGAGGATTCTGTGTGGCTATTTTCCCCAGGGAACACACTTCACGTTTCCAGAAAACGGATGGGGAGATGAGAAGGGGGTGGCATTCGCAAAGACAGCAAAGTGAATCCCCTCAAATTTGGATTTAAAAAAGTCCATTGTCTCCTCACATTTGGAGTTGGAGGAGAGGACGAGCGATCAAGCCTTGGGAAGGTGGGCAGAGGAGCTGGGTTGTGGTACGTATGTCCAATTATAACCACTGGGTGGCGATTTAGCAAACTGCGTTAAGCTGAAATATATTACACGATATTGTATTATTTTATGTTTCCAACTGTGGACTCATTAGCAACGCTGTAGATCATTGGATGGAATTGCATTACAATGTATTACCTTATTGTGGCCATCGGTTGATGGGGCAGAGAACTGGGTTGAGTTATATGAAATTGTCATAGTCAAGTGTGGTCACTAAGCCAGGAGAACCAGACATATTCATGTTATACCCAATTGTAACCATATGGTGGTTCTTCAAATGAATAGATTGAATTATTGTATATTAAAGAATAATATCTAAGTTTGGTCACTGGGTAACATATGAGTTGATATGGACTGAATTATGCAGTATTATTGTGTAATGCCTGATTGTTGCCACACACTGATTGGAAATGTTTATATAGTGCTGTAATTTCCAGTTTTTCTTCAGAATATTTGAAAATTGATAAAGAAATACAATTCAATATTTGTGCACTGACTTTATTCTGTTCCAATCTTTACAATCGAGGATTTCATCTGCAGCATTTGTTTTAATATTTTTCATGTTGTAAATTTATTTACAAATTATGACTATAAGATTCCAACAATGCTTTGAAAATTATTTTTAAATCAAAATAACATCAACATGTTTCATAATTGTTAAATTTAGTAAAAGATAATGTGCATACAGTAATACAGATTATTTTCAAAAGAATAAAACTCAGTAATACATGTCAAAAATGTGATCCATTAATACAGTGAACATTGATCTCAAGTTCATTATTTAAAAAGGAAAATTCATAAAAAGAAAATGCTAAAAGATTCCTGGAACTCAGTTACATTTCAAGTGTCTTTGTATAAGTCTTTGTGTTGTTCGTATAATGCTTCAGGTTGATTAAAAAAACATTCATAATGATATTAACAAATTAATACAGTGCAGCTTTTAGCAAATTACAATGTGAATTTTCCCCAATGACTCAAATGCATATTTTCTGTAAAGGAAAATCACCAAAATATTTGTCTATCCTCATTTATACCACATTTCCTCCTCTGCTGCTGCACTCCTTTCAAATTCTGCATCTATATTTAGATGAAATTCTACAATCATATCCAGATAGCACAGATAATTAGACAAAACACCTCCACTGAGAGATACAAATGAGACAAACAACTAATTTGTATTTTCCAATTATTTTTCCAACATTCCTGATTCCAACACCAGTCATATCAATCAATTCATAAAAATGTCAGAGAATATTCATTATTGGAAACGATAATACTTATACTTTTTGACTTTACAATGAAGTGAAGTCACAATAACTGCAAACAACAAATTACAGTTGTGTAGCACAATTCATGTCAGGATATGTCCCAAAGTGCTGGACAGTCAGGGGTTTGCACCCAAGCTGAAGTCTGGGGTCAGAAGGCGTCAAGGGTAGGGAAGGTGGGTGCTGGAAGGTGCCAGAAGTTGCGGTTCTTTAGATGGATTTTGAAGGAGCCAAGGGAGGGGGCAAGGCATTGGGAATGTGGGATGGAGTTCCAAAAGCATGGGAGCAGAAAGGCAGAAGGCTTGACTGCCGATGATGGGGCGGGTAGGACGGGGTCATAGAGTAGGCCAGAGTCCAGAGCAAGGGGCATAATCTTCAAATTAAAGCTAAGCTAATTGGGAGTAGAATCAGGAGGCAATTTTTCATTGAAAGGTAGTGGAAATCTGGTGGATGGAGGTGGATAGATGTTTATTAAGTAAGTGTAGTCCTGTAGCTCAGTGGTTAGAGCACTCGCTTTGCAAGCGAGAGACCTGGGTTTGATTCCCGGCGGGGTGAAACCTTGGGCAACTTTCCTTACTCCACAAGCCTGATAATAATCCCTCAAAAAAAACAATAATAAACTGGTCATTTCAATCCACGACTGATTGTGGGACACTGCTGTGCGAAATTGGCTGCCGTGTTTCACCCAGAAATATACAGTCAACTCATTTTACAGTCTATTCTGTGAAGCGCTTTGAGACGTCAAGAAAACGTGAAGATTATTATTAGAATTGTATTAAGGGATATGGGCAAGTTAATTGGAGTAGAGATTCAGATCAGCCGTGATCTTATAGAATGGCGTAACAGGCCCAGGGGGCTGAATGGCTTACTTCTGCTCCTATGCTCCTAGACTGCTGAACGTAGGCCGTGTCGGGTTAGCAGGTCACAGAGCTAGGGAGGTGCAAGGCCATGGAGGGCTTTGAATGCGAGGATGAGGATTTTGAACTCTACAAAATTAAAATCTGTATGAAAGCGGCAGAAAAGTTTATCTATTCTGAATGAGACAGGATTATCAAATATCATTCTCCAGCGAATGGGGAATATAATCTTGATTTGACTTGAGGAAGTGCTGTAAAATGCTGTATTATTTATGCATTATTTACAACTGAGTAAACTCATCAGGAACTTCCTCGAAAGACTTGTTCAATGGCATAGATGTTTCCCCAGAAGGAACTTGGAAACTTTCCTTTTCAAACAGTGATACCAGAGTGGACACTGTTGATTTTGGATCAAGAAATGTTACTAGTGGCACACTGACATTCTTTTCCTGGTGAATCCGATTCTGTATGGTCATTCCTATCATGGAATCAATGCCAAAACTGGAGAGAGTAGATTCTTTGGTAAAGTCTGTAGGATCTGTGTTGCTCACTTCAGACAACAAGGTTATTATATACTGTTCAGGAGGTATTGATGAATCACTGACCACCACTTTGACATTTCCTTTGCTGATCTCTTCCTGCACAATTGAATGGAAACGTCTCTTGCTTGATGGGTTTTGGGAGATATTAACATATATATTTGAGAAATCAAATTTACAGATTACTTGTTGTGGATTGTTCAGGGTCAAACAACGTTCAAAGCTTTTAATGATTTCAGAAATTTCTATTGTCAAAATCCCTTTCAACTCCAGAAATTTCTGAATGTTGTCTTTATTGAGCAGCAGCCCGAGATTCAGTGCTCCCCAGTTCACAGATTGCCCCACAAGCCCATGGTATCGCCTAAAGTGGACAAAGTAATCAAGAAATGAGTTTGCTGCAGAATAGTTAGCCTGTAGAGATGATCCAAAGAATGAAGCAACTGAGGAAAAGCACACAAAGTACTCCAGCTGGAGGCCTTGTGTTGCATAGTGAAGATTCAAGACCCCAGCAATTTTGGGAACAAGAACCTTATCAAACAATGATTTATTTAGATCTCGAAGGAGTGAATCATGTAAGACCACAGCACTGTGAAACACTCCTTTAACAGAAACCTTTGGGAAGGAGTGAAGAAAATTACTGATTGCTTTCTCGACATTTGACAGAGCTGAGATGTCACAGGCCACGCAAATGATCCTTGTCCCAATTTCATTCTGTAGTTTGCTAAATTCCTCCTGCTTCTCCTTCGATGGAGAGCTCCTTGAAAGAACAAGAATATAGCCACCGCCATGGTTGGCAATGAATTTCACAGTTTCAAAGCCAAGACCGGTAAGTCCTCCAGCAACTATATACACAGCATCACTTTTAAAGAGCTGCTTTTGTCTGCAGTGCATTGGAATCTCTGACATCCTAGTCTTGGTGGTGCTCTTCAGAACTGCAATGGAGACATCTCTGCATGTAAAGTACGACTCATTCCTGCACTCAACCATGTCTGATATTCTTTGCTGGAAGATCATTTTTGATAGATCAAAACGTTTCGTCCCTAAATACATTGTTCTCATCCATTTATAGATACGATTTGCAGATTTCATGAGATAGCCCTTTTGAAATATACTGGCTAACTGCAGAACATGAATACAGACATTGTCCTTTTCATTTTGGAGAATGTCTTGGGAAATATCAAGCATCTGCTTGTTGTCCAGGAGAACAACAATATCCGAGCAGAAGAACCATTGACATATTTTGAAATAGAGGTTTTTTCAAAAGGTGGCAATAAAACCAAAGCATCACAGTGAACTGGAATCTGTACAAGGTCATTGGAGTGTGGATAAACCTGAACTCTCCAGCCAGACTCCCTGGCTGTCAGAGACAAGACTTTACTCAAACACGAATCAGGTATCATGGAAACAATTACCAAGCGTTTCTGATGTTTGGGTTTTGGTAAGAGATTATGGAATATTTCCCATGCTATTGTGAAGTATGACACACAAGGGATCTCCTTCAGCAATGGTACTTTCTTGCTTTTGAAACAAACAACAGCAGGAAGGCTGACATTTGAAGCTGCAGGAACCGGGTAACATGCAACAATATGATCTCCCACTTTACAACTCTTCACATCACTGCCAACAGCAGTGACTGTACCACTAAAGTCCAGAGCCACGAGATTGTGCCCACCAAACACACTTTTGCTCCAGTACAACGTCTTCCCATAGTTTAGATCAGAGACACTAACTGGGAAGTAATCCGCTGAATGCATGCAAATTGCATCCAATTCAATGTGTACACTTTGTTTTGTGGGTGCACTCATTTTGTTCTCTTGAGGTTTGGCATGCAAATCCACAACATTGTAAGGATCCATGATCTGGAAAAGGACATTTCCAAAACCAGAATAAGAAGTCCCACCATTGGTATTGTCTGAGATTATAAGGGATGTTCGTGTGATCGTGGAAGCATGCAACATTCCCTGGCTGATCATTACCTCAGGGTGGGTCACCCCATCAGACAAGACTATTACATTAGCTAATGCTGCCATATCTGCATCACTGATAGAGCTGACATCAATGATCTGAAATAAAACCTCTGGAATTTCTGCATTGCATGATCTCGTCATACCCCACAGGGCAAACCCTGGAGTAATTTGATCCACTGTTTTTTCAGATGTCCTGTATGTTATTACTCTAACAGATTTTGTGCCATTTTTCCCTCGAACTAACTGAATGATCTGACGATAAATCTCACAGCAGCTACTGACCTCCTGCACCACTGCTGTGCTGGTCTGGTCAGTCAGGTTTACAGTCCCCCACAGGAAGAACACCTCCTCATAGCTATTCAGGTTGTGGGCATTGTACTTTCTCAGAAGATCCACAACTTCTGTACCAGTGAAATTGTCATATTCCTGGTAAGGAATATATGTGGACTGACTGTGCAGGAATTTCTTGAGGCTTTCAGCCACTCCATAGTTATCACCAAACACGAGTGATCTTGGGCCAGAAGCAAGATTTTTGCCCTCTTGAAGGTGAGGAATTTCTACCCAGATACTTTCATAGAACAAATCATTGATTCCTCCTCCATTGTTCACGGTTAGAAATGTGGTTCTGATATTTTTCAGTTCGGCAATGATTATGCCCTTTGTATCTGTGAAGCCCCCACAGACCTCTAGATAATCTGGAGTGATTTTACTGATCCTCAGATACATCAGCATTTCTTGTTGTAAAGGGCGATGAATAACCAAGCTCCCTACAGATGTGGGGAATCCTATGGTGGAGACTGCAGACATCATTGTTACAACAGCAGCCATTTGTAGAAAATAGTCTAAAATGATTGGGTGAAAGGAGTATTGATGAATCTGTGACATGAGCTCTTCTGGTACTCTAATGCATGTTATAGCTTCCTTCAAATTCTCTCCATAGAAGATATCCCCAAGTTGCCTAAAAACTGATCCATACTGAAAGCCTAAAGAAGAGAGTTCTTTATAGATGTCCTCTGGCTTTGCTTTCGATTTGCATCTTTGGAAAATTTGCTCAACCGAGATATTACTTTCATCAGTTACACACTCAGTGACCTGTAGTACCTCCCCTGTGGCATAAATGCCAGAAGTTGATAAAACACTAAATTTGATCAGTTTATCTTCTCTGTTGAGGTGCACTTTGAGCTCAACTGAGTTCTGGTGGATTATACAAGGATTCAGAAACTTTGCGCTGATCCGGCACAAAGTGAGTGGTATCTTTGGTTCAATACTTGCCAGGACGGAAGCCACACCAAGTTCTACATGAAAGGCACCGGGAAGTATGGGCACTCCATTGTTTTTGTGTTCAGCTACATAAGGTACTGTCAATGTTGACAAGGTGAAGTTATATTCTTGCCGTCCTTGCTTACACTAGAGAGTAGGGGGTGATGGGAAGAAACTACCTTGTCATTATCTTGCCTAAGTTCTTCAAAGTTTAATTCCTGCTTTGTGTGATCAAACACATAAGAAGGATAAACAGTGGGAAGAGTTTCACGACCAACATAGACATTTTGCCAGTTGGGATTGTACCCGAGCTCAAAGAGTTTTGATAGAACCAATAGATGAGTTTCATAATCTCTGTCTGGCTGAACTGCAGGAAAAACTCGAGTTTGATTGCCTAGGATTTCTGTGATGTATCTTTGCAAGGCCCGTCTTGGACCTATTTCTACAAATACTGCGTCTTCAGCCTCTGCAGCAGCAGCTCTTATCCCTTTTTCAAAGGCAACAGGATCTCGAATGTTCCGGGCCCAATATTTGCCTGTGAGAAAGTCATCTCCTGAAGCCACCTGACCTGTAACTGTGGAGATAATCTTTGAGCGTGCTTCTTGTTCATGTAAGTTACCTACTTTCTCTTCTACCTGCTGTATGATTGGCTCCATCAAGTGACTGTGATAAGCTGCTGGAACATCTAAAATGCGAAGGAATATATTTTTGTCACCAAATGCGGTGGATAACTCTGTATACAGTTTGTCCACTGCACCGGCATCACCTGACACTGTGCAAGAGGAGGGACTGTTGAATGCAGCAATACAGAGTCTCCCCGAATATGGAACAAGTCTGTCTGACACATTTGACACAGGCAAATTGCTAACAGCCAGCATTCTGCCTCCCGTTACTGTTGACTGCAATACACTTCTGTAGTAAATCACCTTTACAGCATCGTGCAAGGACAGTGTCCCAGCACAATGTGCTGCAGCAACCTCGCCAACAGAATGTCCAATCATAAGGTTAGCCTGGATTCCCCAAAACCCCAAAAGAGAAACCATTGCCACCTGAACAGCAAAGAGCAATGGCTGTGCTATCTCGGGTTTTGTGAAGTCATCATAGTCATTTTCAATTAAATCTATTAGATTGATGGGTGTGTGTAGTTGGAGAATTTTTTCTATCTCTTCAATCTGTGTCCTGAACACTGGCTCTGTGTGTACAAGCAGTTTACACATCCCTCTATAGGCAACACCGTTGCCACAGAACACAAATACGATCTTTGGACTTGTCTTTATCCGAGCAACATCAGTAACTGTGGCTGATTTAAGCTGCTGCTGTAGGTGATTGAGGGAAGAAACTACAAAGGCTTTTCTGTATCTATAACTTGCGTGGCTTCTTCTACAAGCAGATGTATATGCCAGACTATGGAAAGCGGTATCATCACTTTGATTTATTTGGTGACTTGTGTCTTTTATCATCATTTGAATTGATTTCTGGGAGGCAGCTGAAAGGACAAATATCTCCAGTGGTTTCTGTGCACAGTTGAGCCGGGCAAGCTGCTTGTACTGTCTCACCACTGCGTGAGCATTTGTTCCCCCAAACCCAAATGAATTGACTCCTGCCATCCTACCCATCTCCCCACGCTTTTCCCAGTTTTCCACACTAGTTGGAACACGTAGATTCAAAGCCTTTGCATTGATGCTTGAATCCTCCTCAGTGTAGTGGAGGGATGGTACAATTTTGCCATGATGCATCATCAGGAGAACTTTGATTAAACCTGCGGCTCCTGCAGCTGACTCTGTGTGACCAACATTCCCTTTGACAGAGCCTATGATGAGCGGATCAGGGTTTGATGTCCTGGACTGACCAACAATGTGTGATATGCTGCCGGCTTCTGTAGGATCACCAGCTGGAGTTCCAGTTCCATGAGCCTCCATGTACTGTATCTGGGATGGATCAACATACCTGTGGTAAATCCATTTCAACAGTTCTTCCTGCTGTGTTTGTGAGGGTCTGGTGATAGGTGTAACTGATCTTCCATCTTGATTGATAGCACTGTACACTAGGACACCCCAGATGTGATCATCGTCTTTCAGTGCCTATTAATTGGATGAAAGAATAGAATTACCGAATGTTTCAGCACAAAAGGAAGCCATTGTATGTGGGTTCCTTACTGGACCTATGCACTCTAATCCCCTTTGCCCTGCTCAGTCCTATAAACTTGAAACTTATTTTGTTCAAATAATCCAGCCATTAGCATAAAATATTCAACATTTTAACAATAATTTCTTCTTTGTTCTGGTATTATTTTGACATATTTCAAAATATGTTCTTCTGTTTGGCACTCCGAAGAGTACCCCGTCTTAAAATTTCCTTTAAGTGCTCTTAGATTCATTCCCGTGTGAATGGTTCCATATAATGCTGCTTGTTTTTGTTTTGCTATTGACTGAATGAATAACAATTGAAATTTTGTAATGCGTTTGTGAGGGTCTGGTGATAGGTATGACTGATCTGTCATCTTGATTGATAGCACTGTGCACTAATACACCCCAGATGTTATCACCTACAAATTCCTCCATGGCCTCACCCCACCCTACCTCTGCAACCTCCTAACCCCCTACCAACCCGCCCACTACCCTCCGCTCAGCCCGCTCCAGCCTGCTCCAACTCCCCCGACCCACCCGCTCCACCATTGGCGAGAAAGCCTTCAGCCACTCTACCCCCAACCGCTGGAATTCCATCCACTAATCACTCCGCCTTGCCCCCTCCTTTGCCTCATTGAAGTCCCGCTTCAAAACCCTCCTCTTTGACCATGCCATCGGTCACCCCCTTCCTCTCCCCTCCCTCTCCCTGACACCAGCTCAGGCCTGAAATGCTGCCCAGCGCCTTGGGACATCCTCCCAACATGAAAGGCACTATACAAATGTAATCTTGTTGTTGTCTTTCAATGCCTATTAAAGCAATGAATGAATAGAATTAAAGAATGTTTAGACCACCAAAGGAAGCCAATATCTTCCTATTGCTATTAGCCCCCAAATTCCTGTAGGGTCAAGGCATGATAACCTGGAAGTGCATCCTGTGTTTGAAAAGTGATTGGATGGACGAGTTCAGGAATACAATTGAATAATCGAACTGTGAACTCTAATTGGGCAATTCAGGTATCGGCAGCGCAGTAATGGTGAAAGGATATGAGACTGAGCCGTTCGCCATCAGGTCTGGAGTAAGGCAGGTCTGTCCCCTATCCTCCACCGGGATTGTCTGCTGCATCAAATCCTTTGCTCAGGCCATCAGGAGGGACGAGAGCATCAGAGTAGTCACCAACCCAGGCAGCCACAGCGAACAAGCCAAGTTCTCCCTGGAAATGGATGATGTCGCCATCTTTTGCACAGACTAAGAATTGGCCTCGAGACTGCTAGGCATTTGCAACTGTTTTGAGCAAGTCTCAGAAGCAAAGGTCAACTGCCAGAAGAGCGAGGTGATGTATTTTGGAGACTGGAAAGAATGCAGTCACATACCATTTGCAGTGAAGCCAGACTGCATCAAAGCCTCGGCATCTCGATTGAGGCTGCCGGGGAGTGCCAAAAAAGCTGGGAGGAGAGTCTAGGTGTAGCCAGGAAGAAATTGGTGATGTGGCGCCTGAGTTCACTGTCCATCACCGGAAAAAAATCTGGTGATAAAGTGTGAGGCCCTCTCGATGTTACTGTACGTGATCCAGGTCTGGCCTTTGACCAAAAACAACGCCACTGCAATCACTAGACAGGTCTTCCATCTGATTTGGGGGGGGTGGGTCTGAGGTGGATCATGTCCGCAGAGACACTCTGCACAAAACCCCGGAAGGGTGGGGGAAAAGGGGTCCCCAACATAGCCCTGATCTTCATGGCCACCTTTGTGTGTAACTTCCCGAGGCTGTTCCTGGAACCCTGCTACGATGGCACAAATGCCGTTACATGATGGGTTTCTTCCTGTAACCCGTGCTAAGAAGGGTGGGTCTGGCAGAACTGCCTCGAAACGTTCCACACAGTTGGAGCATGCCGAACCACCTCGGGGAGAGGACCGACCGAATTGGGAGGTACCCTGAGGGGACAGCCAGCTGCAAAATGCCTTGTCTCTGGCCCTGACCAACAACAATCCTGACATGGCCTGGCTGGCAAAAAAAGGAGCCCCACCCCTCAGAGCTTTCATGCTTGGTCAAGGTCTGGGCCAGTCAGCAAGTTGCCCTCGGGTTGGCTGCAGAGGCCAGGAACCATGGACCACCTCTTCCTGGAGTGTTGTTTCTCAAAGACGGTTTTGAAAAAGATGGAAAGGAGACTCTTGCAGTTCATCCCTGGGGACCCACTGTCACGGCACTTGGTGTTGTACGGCCTCTTCCTGAACACTTACTGCGAAACTAACAGTGAGTGTGCCTGGAGGATCATAGACTCGATAAAGAAGGCCCTTTGGCTGTCCTGAAACCAGATGTTCTTTTGGCAAAATGAGGGGTCAGTGAGGGAGAAGTTGAAGTCTGGCTCAACCATGGCAAAGGCCAGATGGGGCCTAACCCTGGGAGGAGCTGCTCCGGCACAAACAACACAGGACACACCCGCTGGGTAGCCCACAAGTGCACCCAAAACTGACTGAAGTAAGGGTACAGAAGGACGCTCGAGATGTAATCAGAGAATGTCCTGAAAATGTATGTACAGTAAACACGTGCTTGTATAGTGCACCTCAGGGCACCTTCCGAAAACGGCAAGTGTGCCTTATCGGGGTGTTTGCGGGCGCGCAATGGAGGTGGGGTACACAGGGGTGACTCCCGACTGTTTTAAAGGGAGCATCCCGAAAAACATGTGCACAACATATGTGCGGTGAAGGAATGTACCATAAACAACTACATCAAGTACACCTGGAGGATCATCAACTCAGTGAAAGAGGCCCTTTGGCATTCCCGAAATTTGGTGATCTTCCAGTGGAACGAGGGGATGGAGAGGGCCTGCCTCAGGATTGGGCATCCTCAGATTAGGGCCTGAGGGACACACTGAAGCTCAGCTCAACCACGGCAAAGGCCAGATGGGGCATGTCCCCAGCCAGAACCGTGCTCATGTTGGCATCACATCCCCACGTGCCAGGAACCCTACCAGTGAGAGGGAGACATCGGGCACGCTCATCGGGTAACCCACGAGCACACCCAACACTGAATAAACGTGTGTGTAACCATATAAATATACAGAGGGACTCTCGAGATGTAACAGAGTTTCTCGAAAATGTAATGTAAATGTATATGTCTGTCTGCCCCCTCCCATGAAGGGGAGAACGGCAGGGAGTGAGGTAAAGGGTCACCATCCTGTAAAAGGAGCCCAGACTAGACCACCAGTGTAACTGCTGCCCGTAGAGAAAGGAAACAGAACCCCAACAGGGACACTGCAGTGACAGGGGACTGGTATATATTATATGTGTATGGGTTTGTGTGTTTGGGAAAACGTGTGCGTATGGTGCACATCGGGGGGGCATTTGAAATCAGCAAGTGTACCTTATCAGGGTGTGTGCGAATACCCTCATGTAGTGCACACAGGGGCGATTCCTGACTGTCTTAAAATGAGCGTTGCAAATAAGAGGGGAGGGATAGGGGATAGGGAGATGAGTATAAGACCACATTTGTATCTGCACCCTGCAAAGGGCGGTAGCACCCTGAGGCAACAAAGCCTTGGTTCCTCCACCAAAGTGGAGTGTACAGAGGCCCCTGTCCCACCACAAGGGGCCGGGTCTGGTGCATCCAGTAACGGGATAATAACATTTGGCATCTTTTCTGTAATAGGTTTCATACTGCCTGAGATAAGTGCAAATATAACAAATAAATTAATATATTTTGTAAAAAAAATGACAATGGTTCTGTAGGAAACCTAGAGCAATAAATTCATGCAGTAGAGAGGATAATCTATAAATTGTAATTTGAACCTGGTTTCACACATGCAGCTCTGCAGAGAAACTAAATTATGCCCCTCGCCACCTTACACATGCAACTGGATTTCTGCCACAGTCCCTTATCCACTTCCACATCAAAATCTGATGCACATAAGTGGAAATATGGATAATCAGCATTCAACTGTACTTATGGGACTTCCTGTATAAATTCTTTTAGAAATATTCTACCTTTGCCAGTGGTTTCAACAGAAGAATTCCACATCCTTCTCCTCTCCCATACCCGTTAGCTTTCTTAGAAAATGGTTTGCACATTCCATCTGGAGAGATCATCTTTGCTTTACTGAGTGCTACATTGACACGTGGTTCAATGATGCAGCTCACTCCTCCACAAACAGCCATCTCACAGTCACCTGAAAGAGCAAGGTGGGAATTTTAACCAGTGACTCTACATAAACAGTGCCAGCTAAATAACAGTGCTTTAGAGCGTTAATATGGATTATTATAAGATAATGATTTCTGCAATACGATAGAGGCATGGCTTTCTTCTGCTGTTTGTACATTTGTCACATTAGCATAGAGATAACTCACCTATAATTTGAGGTGCTGAAGCTTTATATAAAAACAATTACCTTCCGGTTACCCTCTGTAGGTGGCTGTATTTACCTGTCCCTACCAGTTACCTCCCATGATGCTGTAAACTGTGCTTCATGATGTGTGTACAATGTATTGATGCAACCACAAAGGTGGTTTCTGGTACCTTGTTTGATGGCCTGAGAAGCGTAGTGTAGAGCGACCAGAGATGAAGAGCACGCTGTGTCTATAGCCAGTGATGGTCCAGTAAAGTTGAAGGTGAACGAAATCCTATTTGCAGCTATGCTCATTGCTGTACCAGTGCCATTATAATGGCTGATTCTGTTGGCTGAATTATTCATTATCGCTTCAAAGTCTCGATTCATGAGCCCTAAAGAAAAGGAAAGACACTGAAACTGTTCTTTTGGAGTGATAACTTTAGTCTATTCTGAGACAATATTGAGTGAGATGTATTAGTGAATAGAAGAGTAGAATCATTTACATTTATGGCACAAAAGAAGGCCATTGTGTCTGTGCCGGCTCCCTCAAGAGCAATCCTTTCAGTCCCATTTGCCTGCGCTTCCCCCATAACTTTGCAACTGACTTTTTAAGATATTTGTCTAATTTCCTCTTGAAGGCCAATATGGATTGTGCTATGGGCAGAATTGTATCAGTTCCTAACAACTCAAAAAACTTTCTCCTCAATTCCCCATTTGCTCATTTAATATCTTATATTGACGCTTTGAGATGTCTCAACGACATGATAAGGCGCTATATCAAATGCAAGGATTATTTTTTTAATGATTTCTCCCTATTGACTATCAATCATCCGGATGAAGTTCCCCACCTGCTGCCTTGAGCCCCTCTCCACCCAGCTGCTGGTCACTCAACTCCCCCACCTCTCCAAACTGCTCGCCGATACTGTTAACCAGTCTCTCTCCTCAGGCTCTGTTCCACTCCCTTAAAAGCGCTGTATTCACACCCCTCCTCAAAAACCCACCCTTAATCCCTATAATCTCTCACACTATCATCCCACTGTGGAGTCCTGTATCTCAGTGGTTGGAGCACCCGCCTTGCAAGCGAGAGAACTGGGTTCTATTCTCGTCAAGACAAAATGTTGGGTAAGTTTCCTTACTCCACACGCCTGTTTACCAAGCAGCAAATAGGAACCCAGTTGTTAGCCGATTGGCAGATCACATTTCTGGGGATAATAATCCCTTAAGAAAACATAACATGTAGGAGCAGTAGTAGATCATTTGGCCTTTCGAGCCTGTCCCGCCATTCAATCATGGCAGATCTTCTAATCTAACTCAGCTAACCTGACCCTGCCTTATCCCCATATCCCTTAATCCCTTTTGCAATAAGAAACATATCTATCTCAGTCTTGAATATGTTCAAGGACTGAGCGTCAACAGGCTTTGGGGTAGCGAGTTCCATATATTCACCACCCTTTGAGTGAAGAAGTTCTTCCTCAACTCAGTGTGAAAGGGCTGGCCTCTGATTTTAAGGTTGTGACCCCTGGTTTTAGTTTCTCCAACCAGGGGAAACAATCTCTCACTATCTACTCTATCATGCCCTTTGATGATCTTATAGGTTTCTATAAGATTCCCTCTAATTCTTCTATATTCTAGAGAGTATAGGCCCAAATTGGTCAGCTTATCCTCATAACTCATCCCCTTCATCCCTGGTACATCCTTCCTTAAATAAGGAGACCAAAACTACACACAGTATTTCAGGTGTGGTCTCACCAGGGCCCTATACAGTTGCAGCAAGACTTCCCTGCTCTTATACTCTAATCCTTTCAAAATGAATACTAACATATCGTTAGCCATTCTAATTGCTTGCTGCACCTCCACTAGTCACATCCCACCAATCTGAAAAAGACCCATTTATTCCTACTCTTTGTTTCCTACCCATTAACCATTCTCCAAACCACATAAATATGCTCCCCCCAATTCCATGGGCCCCTATCTTTTGAACTAACCTTTTAAGCGGCACCTTATCAAATGCCTTCTGGAAGTCCAAATGGACCACATCCACTGATTCGCCCTTTTGACTTGGCCTAATTATATTGTGCTCCTCTAAATACCACACTACCACATCCTTAATCAATGATTCCAAATTTTTTCCTGATGTTAGACTAACTGGCCTATAGGTCCCATCTTTTCCTTTCCACCTTTTTTAAAGAGTAGTGTGACATTTACGATCTTCCAACCCATGGGGACTGTTCCAGAATCCAAGGAATTTTGGAAGATTTTGGAATATTTAACTCCCACCCTTGATCTCCTTGTAATCATGTTTCAGTGATGGCTACTAGATCGTACCCATACATAGAAAACAAACCAATAATAATTTGGTCACTCAATCCACAACTGATTGTGGGACATTGCTGTGCACAATCGGCTGCCATATTTTGCCCACAAATATACAGTTAATTCACCTTACAGTATATTCTGTGAAGCGCTTTGAGACGTCTAGAAGATGTGAAAAGCATTATATCGAATGCAAGGGTTATTATTATTATTTATCAAACTGCTCAGAATTTTAAATACCTCGATCAGATCACCCCACACCATTTTGTGTTCCAGCAGAAAAGTCTCAGTTCCTCCAGTCTCTGCTCATAGAACGAACCATTCATCTCCAGTATCATACTGGTATTTCTCCTCTCTACTCTGTTTATTCCCTTGATGTCTTTCCTAAAATGATGTGACCAATACTGAACACAATATTCTATTTATTGTCTAACTAACGCTTTAAAAAGTTATCATTACCTCTTTGCTTTTATATTCTGTAGCTCTGTTTATAAAGCCTAAGAATCAATTAGCTTTTTTGAAAGCTTTGTCCACCAGGGCATTGCCGTGTGCAGATTGGCTGCCACATTTGCCTATAAAATACAGTCACAACACATTACAATAAATCTTCACAAATCTTGTGAAGCTTTTTGCAATTTCCTCCCGACATACAAATACAACAATTATTATTGTTATTCTCATCAAGTTCACCAAAAATCTATTCCATCATAAAGTTAACCCACAAACTCCCTTGGGCCAACAACCAAATGTGGTCCCCATCATCATTTTAATTGAGGCCCAGCAATTAGGTGATGATGAATTATGATAAATATTTCATGAACTGACAAAATCACATGTGGTTCCAAAATTGGCTATTATGTTGGGCAGCGGGCACCTACTCACCAATAAAAACTCCTGTTTTACTCCCACTGAGATCCTCCTTGGGCATCCCTGCATTTTCGAGCGCTTTGTACGTGCACTCCAAGAGAAGCTTGTGTTGTGGATCCATGCAGTTGGCTTCTGTTTCATTTATGCCAAACAACTTATAATCAAATAAATTGAACCTATTAATTGCAAAGAAATATGAAAGTTTGTGTTAGGCATATATAGATGCATTAACATTATTATTTTTTAAGGGGCCTGAGGTTCAACATTTAATATTTTATTTAAACATTTTGTATGTAGCTTGAGCTCAAGCTGTCAGAGAACACTTCTTAGTCCAGGGCACACAAAGCATCCTGGAGTTCCCACATGGCACACATTATGAATGCAACCAGTCTCAGCTGCCCTGCCATATTCCCAGACATGTTTTATATTGTTTTAATATGAATATTACATAATTATGCACCTCTTTACCCCTTTACACCAAATTCCCACTCGCACCAAATTCCTTAACAGATTCTCACTCTGTTCCTTCCTCATTCTGCTAGGCTTTCTGCTCAAGTGAAACACTTACAAGTCTTCTCCTTTATATAGGACTCAAACTAAAAGACCCAGTTTCAACTGGTCAGCAGATTTTTTATTCCCCAACACCTAGCCTATGATTAATTGCAAATCGCCTTGTTTGCTTGCTTACATATAAGGTTGTCTCAACCTCACAATAGATTTTCCACTCTTCTGCTGAGTGAAAGAGTTCACTCTTGCTCTCTGGTATCTCTCTTGCTGAAGAATTCCCACTATCATCAAATTCCTTAACAGAATTCTCACTCTGTTCCAACTCCCTCAGTTCCCTCCTCACCTGCTGGGCTCTCTGCTCATGTGACAAACATGAGACAAGTTGCATAGCATAATATGTATGAGCAGGAGTAGGCCATTCATCCCTTCGAGCCTGCCACGCCATTCAATTATGGCTGATCTTCTAATGTAATTCCAGCTAATAACCTAATCCTGCCTTATTTCTATATCCCTTAATCCCTTTTGCAATAAGAAATATATCTATCTCAGTCTTCAATATGTTCAAGGACTGAGCGTCAACAGCTCTTTGGGGTAGCGCGTTCTATACATTGCGTTCTAGAAATTCTTGGAAGTAGTTATAATGTAAAATTGATCAGATAACTCATCCTATAAGATGGCATGTTGGAATGCAGAGGCCTCCGGCTCTATCCTGTGGCTGGCGTGGGCGCTCAGAGGACATTGGGTATGGATGCTCAGATGCTTCTCAGAAGTCTATTGGAGGGCCGAGACCTCTATTAATACCACTGATAGTTGTAGTCATGGCTTCCTGCCACGTCTCCTGTCGTATTCTGTGACAGGATAGAGCGGGAGGCAACAGAACAGCCATCCAATGCAACCAGGGGGGTGTGAAGGGATTTATAGTTCAGATTGAGAACCTTGAACTCAATCCGTTGAGAGCCAGGAGAGACTGGGTTAATGAACGCTATGGAGTTTGGTGCAGGTGAGGATGTGGGCAGCGGTGTTTTGGATGAGAGTATCCACTCACACAAAAAAGTACTTGTTTTGCAGCAACAAATATTACTATTCTGAATCAATTTAAAAGATGTAGTTTGTAAGAATGCTGTGCATTACCCTTCAATGAGAGACGCTCGCTTTGTGCGCATTTTTCCAGGCTTGTTGTCATCGGGATCATGCCAGAATTGTGTATCAAAACGATCTGGTGGGATATCCACAACGCAGTTTCTTCCCTCATGAAGAACTTTCCAGAAGTTTTCAATGCCTTCCCCTGTACAGACGACAACAGAATAAAGCTCTTCCATTCTTAGAAATCATTCTGGAATGTATGTCATAATGTTAGTAAATGTGTATTGATACCACTGAGGTTTGTAAATGGTTTGTAGCTCCAGAACTCCCTCACTCTACCCTTCTATCTGGCCCCTCTCTATCTGTCTTCAAATCCTGCCTAACATCCTACCTCTTTGACCAAACCAATGGTCACCTCCCCTTCTTTCCCTCATTTGTTTAGCATCTTTGGGAATCGTTCTGAGATATTATGAAAATAATAATAATAAGAGCCCTTTATGAATGCAAGTTCTTGTTGTTACACCAGATACGGCTCCTGGAGAAGCGAGAGCGCAAGCTTTCCTTCTTCTTTTGTGAGCCTGGACAGTAACTGGTAGCAGCTGTTCAACTATAGGGTTAGCCCCACCTGAGCCTGACACAACCTAAATGCAATGCTGGAGGAGTTTTCATTGTGGGAGGTGCCATGCTTTGGATGAGACGTTAAACCGAGATAATGTCTGCCTGCTCAGGTGGAAGGATCCCAAGGCACGATTCGAAAAAGAGACTGGAGTTTCTTCCGGTTTCTTGGTCAACAATTCCCAGATAAAATAATTGATCATTCACTTGATGGTTGTTTGCAGGATATTGCCATTCACAAATTGTCAAAATGGATTGTTGTTTCAGAGCCACCAGAGACACAATGAGCTGTATCCCATTGTCGAGACATCTCAAAGTGCTTCACAGAATGTGATGTGTAGTGACTGTTTGAAATGTGCTAACTATATTTTGTAGGCAATGTCCCACAAACAGCCATGAAGTGAATGACCAATTGTCGGTCAGTACACCAGAAGAAACTTACAATTTACAATTTGATATTTGCAATATCAGGTTTTATTGGGAATTTAGAAAACAAACTTAGTGAAATTTGTAGGAATCTCACAATTCAATATTCGCAAATGAAAGTTTCAATTAACCCACAACCAATCTCTGGGTTGAAATTATGGCATATTGGACCCCATTCTCACTAACTGTAGCATTCTTATCACTGCCCCAGTTGAAAATGAATGTTCTTACAGACGCTAAAAGTTCCTGCTAGATTCCATGTGGTTTTATTATTTATCATCATAACATCATTCTTTTCATCATTTTTATTATTGTTAAATCTTAAATTCCTACCTCCAGGAAAATTGCATCCAATTCCAACAATAGCTATTTCTTCGTTGTTTTCATCCATTTTGTATTTTTTGCTGTTGACACCTATTGCAAACTAATGAAGAGAATCATAACACAAAAAGGAATCAAATATTTTAGGGTAAGTATACCAGGCTGAGCTCGGTTCAATCATTACAGCAATATTTAGGCAACACTTTTCACAAGCCACAACATTTTTTACACCTGTGCCATATTCCTGTAAAATCTTCTAGATTCACAGTGTGAATGCAGACAATGCTGCGAGAGAAAGCATTTGTTTAAAGCCCACACATCCCAACAGTTTGCCATTGCAGAATGTTTTGCAGCATAAACATTATACCAAAAAAATCTGAATTCTCTATGTGCCTCAGTCCAGTCCTTTATTTCCCAGCGCTGTTGCTGAAGGCAGTCAGGACGCAATGCCTCAATATAAACAGGGAGCGGCATTTCCCTTCACATCGAGAGGTGGTGTTCAGGGAACTAACAGAAGCAGCGACAACATCAGGACAAATCTGAACAATTCCCACCACCAGAACCATAGCTCTCAACATATGTAGGTGGAGAGCACAGCCATACACTTCATATAGAGACGGGCAGTGGGAGCTCCAATGGGAGTACATTTAACCTGGAGAGTGCTCAGTTGTCTTGCAAGTTCGATTCCTGGTGGGGCGAAATCTTTGGCCAGTTTCCTTACTCCACACTCCTGATAATAATCCCTCAAGAAAAAAATCAATAATAATTTGGTCACTCAATCCACAACTGTTTGTGGGACACTGCTGTGCGCAATTGGCTGCACACTATTAGAGACCATGTGTGTGTTAAATCACCAAGAGTTCAGCAGTTAACTCCTTTGGCTCCTATTTTACGAGACAATAAGTTCCGTTGATTCTTACCTACTAACCGTTCAAACGCCTGGAGTTTCAGCTGCATTCAAAAATCATGCAAATTACTTGTCTGTGACCTCTGCCACCAATAAGTTTCTAAAGGATTCTCATAAGCAAAATCTTCTGTTAGAAATAGATGTTACAATTATAAACCAGTGTATGTTGTAAAATTCTCAGTTTCTATGAAACTCACTATACTGAGTAAAAATAACTCTTAACTTGGATTCATGTTCATTTAAAAATATATATAATTTGGAACATAATTTAGATTCAAATACAGTTATACTCATGTCTAAAGCTCAAATTATTTTTGCAATCATATTTGCTATTGATTCCTGAACAACATGCACATAATCTTAAATCAAGTCAATAAAGTTCATGAACAAATGAAGTACAACACAATTTTCATTACATTGAGCCTTTCACATTAATATAAAAGTTTTGGCTGGGCTTCTGAGATGAAGAAAAATAAACATGAAACTGTATCAATGATCATTGCAAACCAGATAGTATTTTGAGATGTCAATATCATTTTACTGTTTTCATCAAAGCTTCATTTCTTTTTAAAAACAAAACCAAAAGTGATTTTAATTTATGAAGATAAAATGCAAGAAAGTATTAAGCTAAACGATGGTAGTACATTGCAGACACACAGTCCCTTCACACATAAAATTCACAATGACAGCAACAGAAAGCGATCCAAAACGCTCCATGTGTAAGTTTAACATAATGTTTGAAATAAAGTGCAAAATTGCCATGAAGGAACTTACTCCATGCAAATATTTTCCATCAACCAGCTCCTTGAAAAAATTCTGAATAAAGTTATTACTGATTTGGTTTTTAAAGCTCTTACCTCATATTCTATTCTATCTCTGATTTTGCTGTCTGTCTTTGTCATAAGCATGAACTGGTTTCTTTTATACTATTCCACAAATACCTATGTATGATCAGCATAATACCAACGACGATAAGGAAGTATGTAATTCTTGGAATAATTAATTTGGATCATTCAACTTATAATGCCTCCTGCCTGTAATAGCTTACATATTAAAAACATTTCCACCTATGAGCTGAACAACACTTGCAAATCGGTTTTATACCGCCCTATCAATGGTACCAGGTGCTGTTGGGTTGCAAATGTTGCCCTTGAACATAATTACAATGATAATAAAACTAATCTTTGAATCTGATAAAGCGCCTTGTCACGTCTTCTAGACATCTCAAAGTGCTTCACAGAATATACTGTGAAGTTAATCAACTGTATATTTTCTGGGTGCAAAATTGTGGCAGCCAACTGCACGAAAGTGTGGATGAGGGTCTTGCCAACCTGAGGGAAGAGGTAGTGGCAGAGGTGGGCAATGTCGACATTCAACTGGAGGAAATTATCTCTCATTCAGGACTTGATGGCCCATCCATTCCCCCCCCCCATACTTCTTCGACCCTATCTCTCCCTCCTCCTTCACCGCGACTGTTCGCAAACTCAAACCCTCAATCCCATCCCACCTCTCTCCTCATCTCCCAGCTCCAACTTCTGGCCTCTCTCCTGTCCAAAGTCATTAACCTCTCCTTGTCCACCGATTCAGTTCCCACTCCCCTAAAAACAGCCGTCATCACCCCCATCCTGAAAAAACCTTCCCTGGACCCATCCCTCCTCTCCAGCTACCACCTCATCTCTAACCTCCCATTCCTCTCCAAGGTCCTGGAACGAGTCGTCGCTTCCCAGCTCCACTCCTTTCTTTCTCGCCATTCCCTCTTTGAACCCTTCCAATATGGCTTCCGAGCTGCCCATAGCACGGAAACAGCCCTGGTCAAAGTCACTAATGATATTATGAACATCTGTGATCAGGGCTCCCTCTGCCTCCTTGTCCTCCTTGACCTCTCTGCCGCCTTCGACACTGTCAACCACTCCATCCTTATATACCGCCTCTCCTCTTTACTTAATCTTCATGGACCTGCCCTTGCCTGGTTCGATTCCTATCTCTCTCACCATCTCACTTTTTTGCCTCTAACAGTTTCTCCTCCAGCCCCCGCACTGTCACATCTGGCGTCCCCCAGTGCTCTGTCCTTGGACCTCTCCTCTTTAATATCTACATGCTCCCCCTTGGTGACATCATCCGCAGACATGAGGTCAACTTCCATATATATGCAGATGACACCCAACTCTATCTTTCTGCCTCCACCCTCAACTCCAGGACCACTGCTGTCCTGACGGACTGCCTGTCGGACATCAAGTCCTGGATGAGGGCAAATTTCCTACAGTTGATTGTGAACAAGACTGAGGCCCTCCTGATTGGCTCGAGCCAGCACCTCAGCACCTCAGGCTCTGGTCACATCAATCTCCATGGTTGCACACTACAACTCACCAGCCAGTCAGGAACCGAGGTGTCTTGTTCGACCCTCAACTGTCTTTTCTTCCCCACATCCAAGCCATGACCCGCTCTACCTTCCCTCACCTCCATAACATCACCCGAGTCCGCCACTACCTCACCCCTCAGGCCGCTGAAACTCTTGCCTTGTCTTCCATCACCTCCAGGCTCGACTATGTCGGCCTTCCCAACTCCTCCCTCCACAGGCTGCAGATAATCCAGAACTCTGCAGCTCATGTCCTTACGTACAAAGCCCTCCATGTCCTCGCCCCACCCCATCTCTATGATCTCTTAACACCCTACCCACCTGCCCGCTTCCTCCGTTCAGCCGGCTCTGGCTTGCTCCACGTCCTCTGACCCACCCGCCCCACCATCGGCGGGAGAGCCTTCAGCCACTCTGCCCCCAACCTCTGAAATTCCATCCCCCAAACACTCCGCCTCGCCCCCTCCTTAGCCTCCTTTAAGTCCCGCCTCAAAACCCTCCTCTTTGACCATGCCATCAGCCACCCTCCCTTCCCCTCCCCTCCCCTCCCTTCTTCCCCACTGACCCCAGCTCAGATCTGAAATGCTGTACACCGTCCAACACCTTGGGACGTC